AGGTTACAGAAGACTTATGAACTAGAGTGTGAAATGTGTTTGAGTTGCATGTGTGCACAAGGCTCCATGGAGACAGGAAATATGAGAATGCAAGAAACCTTTGTGCCTGGAGATGCCCTGTCTTCTAAAGAACAGAGTAAATATTACATAAACTACTACGTGCAAATGTGTATGTGAAAATTCACTCTGTCAACCCAGCCTGGTTGGTTGAAGAGTGTTTGTTATTTCCATCATAACAAATCAAAATCTGAGCTTCTGATGAAAGATTTCCCAAGAAATTCCATCACAAAACCAGAGCTATTAGGTAATGCCCTCATAATAGGCCAAACTTCAATGTCAAAGTCAGCTCTTGGTCAATCTTTCTTGCAAAAAAGCACTAGTCCTTGCCCCTTCCAACACCCCAGAGACATCCCTGTGTGATTTCCTTGCTATCTTAATAGACAAATAATTTAAAATTTTAAATCACAAAGCACATTCTTTTGGGGGCACCTGAGCCATCAAAGTATATTCAACAAATAATGTTAATAACTGTGACCACATATTGGATTTTCATAACTTAAGAGTACAATTCAGTGATATGCAAATATTCATCTGCTTCTTCATGCAAGTTTTCTCTCTTAAAATATACAAAAATCCTGTTTCATCTTTTGCACTTAAACAATTATATATTAGAGAATTAATTTTTCATGAACCCTACAAAATAACAAAATGAGACACAGAAGTTAGCAAAGTATTTTTTTCTGATGCCTTGTCACAAATGCCTGTTGGCCAATAATCTCTCATTTGTTGGTTCAAAGTCAGTATCATTTCATGTCATAGAACTTTCCTTGATGGCATTACCTTCTTTAGCTCACTGAATCTTAAATATTTTCTAGAATAATCAAGTAGCAAATTTGTCTTAGGGAAAAACGCATATATCAGAGTCAGGAAGAGCACACACACACACACACACACATAGCCCTACTAAGCACCTGCCCCTACATCAGTGACTTTAGCTAACAAATACTATGACAAAGGCTATTCATGACCTTTTGGGATACAAAGTAGACTCGTTTCCTTCAAAGAGCTTACATTCCAGTAGCAAGTTTCCCAGAGAATATTAGGAATCACTTGAGGTAGAAAGAGTAATTATAAAAGTTATCCCTAGACACCTAGACACCGCCTCAGACATACTGAGTTAGGAACTCCAGAAATGGATCTCTGGGAAATAAAATTAAAATACTAATAAAAAGCATCTCAGGTAGTTCTATAGATAATAATGTTTAAGGACCGTGGCACTGGTGGTCTGAAAGACATGCACAAAATATGTCAGAAAAAATACCAATTGGGGGATTGTCTTTTAGAGACAGAAAAAAGGAAAAGAAAAATTGAGATCACCTACCTAAATACTATACTTGATAAGTGAGAACTGGGAATCTTCTTTATGTAATAAATCCCTATTCTCTAGAAGTAGAAGACTTTGTATTATTCCTTTCATGGAGTAAGATATTCAAAGTACCTTTAAAGATAAAAATATGATGTGTAATATCTGTGTAGTATGATAAACATTTGACTAAAGGTGGGGTAGGAACTGTTTTCTGATTTTAAAAAATTGGAAAAATATAATCCTGAGAATCATATAAAATAAAACCAAAGGGAATATGTCCATAGTCTAGGAATCCTAGGTCTTACTATTAAAACTGTAATTTCTTCATTCCCACAGTAATTAACTGTGGACAAATTTAATATAGTTAGAACTTTTATTACTTATAATTTACAGAAAACTGAGATTTTTTTCATCTTTTATTCCTTTGGGGGAATCAAATATGACTGGGTTTGAGATTTCAGCTTTCTGATCTGAACATGCTTTGCATGTGTATAGAGCATGCTATTTTCAACAACAGTTCACAAAATTGCAAAGATTTGTTGACTCATTAATGAATTTGCTGACCATGAACAATTTATTCAAGCCCCCAAGTGAAGGTTCAGCTTGTTCATCTGTAAAATGGGTACCAGGCTGTATCTTATTAAACCAAAACACCTAAGGCCTTGCAAGAACTCTCTGAAATAAAAGGGCTTATTGAGCCATTACAGACGCTAGCCAGGAAAATAAATGATTAGGTGCTAGGACACATTCTACATAACCACCACTGGGGTAGATGGCTAATTCCCTAGCTCTAAAAAGCTGGAGTACTATACAGTGCAAACATCGCTGCATACGTATTATTTACTTTGAATCTACATTGGCTGCTGGTAACAAGACTGAGATTGCCCGAAGCAAGGAAGGTTTTGTGACGGGAGGACACCTAGGGAAGCTTCCTCTGGGGCCTCTGGAGTAGTTAGGGCTGCAAGAAGGACACACACACTAGGCCGCCAGAACAGACTTGAGTGAAGCTTTTAAAGTACATCCGAGAACGTTAAAAACAGTCTCTTGTCCTTTGGGTTAACCTCCCTATCATCTCTCTTTTCTTACATCCCTGGCCCTTTGTAATTAAACGTAGGACATCTCGGAATGCTTCTCTTCTCAGTCTGTCTTCCTGGCCTAGGCTTTTGCCACTCACCCATGACGCTTCCCACACTAGTCCTAACTGAGGTTTATGTGGGAGGATCACATGGGATAATTTTTGTAAAAGTGCTCCGTAAGCTGTAAAGCACTATACAGATAAGTGGATTATTATTAGTCTTTTATGAAACTCAGCCATAAAGACGAAAAGTGACCCAGAAAAAAAAAAAAGAAAGAAAACAGGGTAGGCAAATCTGAAATACATCTACAGTGTTGGAACATAGCCTTACAGACACAGTCGTTGGGTTCTTAATAAGCACTAAGGGAGTGAAGAAAAACTCAAAGCACACGTCTGTGCCACTGCCATGTAAGGACTGATAGCAAACAGAAAGACTCGCACCTAGAGTCAAGCGTGGCTTCTTACACAACCAGGAGGTCCCCGAGAACACAGTCTTCACTTGAGAGTCGCTGGATAGAAAGAACCCTGAATACATTCAAGTGCCATGCCCGTCCCACTCCCCAGCACACAGAGAAGTGGGTACGTATTTACCTTCCGCCCTTCTTGGAGAAACGGCAGAACCTTGGTAAGACTGAAACTTACCTCTGTACCTGGTTCACCGTGGATGTGCACAAACGCCCAGGCAACCTCTGGCGGAAGGAAGCTCTGTCGGGTATTGGGCACCTGGGATCTCTGCTCTGGATCTGGAAGGACATTAGTGATACTTGAAGTCAAATCAGATTCACCCTTTAATACAAACTCCACCCAACATAAATAGGAAAGGAGATGGAGGGGAGTTTTTTTGTTTGTTTGCTTATTTGCTGTATAAAACAACTTTTTGTCTGTTTCCTAGGATAGGTAGGATCTGACTCAAATTTAAATATTTCAATTGTATTGCATAGAACCCGACAACCATCTGTAGAATGAGGCAAACCCATACTGGGAAACACCAAACTTAAAAAAATGCAGGAGAAAAATATTTTTTTCTGGGTGGGCCTTAATTGCCTTTTGTTCCCTCATAGTAAATGTATTTTTATCTTCAAAATAGGATTTTCTCCCCATTGTTGAAACAAACAAGTTTACTTTCAGAGTCACAGAAATGCCCAACTATTAGGGAGAAAAACATGTTTTCCACTGGCCACTTGCCTGTCTTTTCCTTGGGCAGCCTTGCCTGTTGGCTCCTCTCTCTAGGAAGGCCCCTGGGACTGCCTGGTGGAACTGGTTGTAAAACTATTTTGTGCAGCAAGAATAAACGTCTTCAAACTCTGAGAGACCACCCAGACCATGACCGATCTTTGGCAGCGGTCTACTGGTTTCCCCAGTGTTGGGTCAGCTGAGTAACTGACCCTGGTTTCTGACTCTTTATTTGAGAAGACATGGTCATGGGGGTATTTCTTCTGGCAGTTTGTTACTTGAAGACAAAAAGAGGAAGAAACCTCTAGTCAAATACCTACGAAGAAAGAATTCACTGAACCGGTTTAGGTTCTTTCTGGGAATACAAGAATTAGAGAACCAAGCTAGACCGGCCATCATAGAGAGAAAATTTTAAGGAAACAAGCATCTTCTAGAGGCTTTCACGAACGACTGTCCCTGGGCTTTTGGCATCAAGCCATCCTAGGATGGTAACCATTTCTAGTCTCCACAGCGGTGGTGGGAATCTCGCGGTAAGGTTCATGTTGGCCTGGGGAAGCAAAAACTCCTGCGGAACAGGCCGTGCCTCTTCCCAGCCTGCTGCGTTCCTCTCCACGAGCCCAGCCTCGTACACACTAGATGCTCAATAAACGCGGACCCGGGAAGCAAAAGACCCGAGTCTGTCCCTGGGCCCCAGTGCTGTACTATATGGCGTGCGCGGGTTTATTCGGACCCGCTGTCCCCTCACATCTGCTGAGGCACTAGAGCTCGGCTAGGGGCTGTGTCTCCAGCCGCAGGTGAACAATCGGAAAGGCGAGCTGCTGGAGACACGACGCCAGAGCCCGAGAGACCGGGAAGCTGGAGGCACGGGCCACTGGCTGGGAGCCACCTGACCGCCGCGCTCCGGTTGACAGGAGGCGGGCCAGGCGCGCGAGACCGGCCGGGGTGGGGCGGGGTGGGGCGCAGGCGCGCGCCCGGCCCCAGGCCCCGCCTTCCCCGGCCCCGCACGCTCCCCGAGCCGCGGGGGAAGGGGGCCCGAGAGCCGGCCGCGCCTCGCGCGCGCGCGCGCGCGCCCGAAGGCTGACGCCGCCCGCGGGCATGCGCTCCGCCCCCGCGCGCGCCGTCCCCCGGGCCCGGCGCGCGGCCCTGCTGACGTCAGCGGGCGGCTGGCGGAGCGCTGCGCAGGAGCTGGCGCACTCCCGCGCTGCGCTCGCCTCGCCCCCTCCCCGCCCGCCCGCCCCGGCGCGCGCGCGTGCCCTGCCCTCCCTGCCCGCCTCTTCTCGTGCTCCCCGCTGGCCGCGGCTCCCTCGCGCTCTCCCCGTCTCCTCTCGGCTCCGCCGAGCGATGCGAGCTCTGGGCCCCGGCGACGCCGCCTCCCGCTAGAGATCTGCACCCCTCGGCCCGACCCCTTTCCCAGTCCTGCCCTGCGCGTCCGGGTCGGAGAAGGCGCCGCGGACGCACCGACGGCCGAGGAGCGGGGATGCACATGCACTAGCGGCACCCCCTAACTCACTCCCTCCACACCCCGCGCCGCCGCCGCCGCCGCCTCCACCTTCTCCGCCTCCGCCTCCTCCTCCTCCGCCTCCGGCAGCCGCGGCAGAAGGACCCACCCTGCCCCCCACCCCACCCTCCGCCGGCTCCGGCTGCGGATCCAGCCTCTACTCCTATTTTATTTATTTTGGGTCGTGCACTAGCCTCAGTGCCTGCAGCCCGCGCCTCCCGGGCCCGCGGGCACCTCCTCCCTCGGCTCCGGAGCCCCAGACCCCGGCCACCCTCACCTCGACACCCTCAGACCCCGGCCAGTCGCCGCTAGTCTCCGCCGCTGGAATCTTGATAGAGGCTGTCATTTTTTGGGGGTTCTGGCCTTTTCGACAATTTTGTTCCCAGCCAAGGAGAGGATATCGTGATTTTCTCCCCTTTGAGCCCAGGCTCTGCTCTGTGGGGGGGTTGGGGGCGCGCCGACCCGGGGAGTCGTGCCAGCCGAGTCGTGCGGGCTGTGGCAGGGAAGGGGCCACCATGGGATGTACTCTGAGCGCAGAGGAGAGAGCCGCCCTCGAGCGGAGCAAGGCGATTGAGAAAAACCTCAAAGAAGATGGCATCAGCGCCGCCAAAGATGTGAAATTACTCCTGCTGGGTAAGGACCTCGGTAGCCACCCCCGCCCCTCGACCCCGGCCGCAGTTTCCCCCACCCGACTAGCCCCACGGGAGACCTGGTCCCGGAGTTGGCACCACTATGTGCCCAGGAGCGCCCACCCCTCGCATGCTTTGAAGCCCCCTGCCCATTCCTCTGAGCTGACACTCACCAGTTTTCCCCCCTCTCTGTGTCCCAACAGGGGCTGGAGAATCAGGAAAAAGCACCATTGTGAAGCAGATGAAGTAAGTCCCTATGGCATCGGGATTTGTACTTTTATTAAGAATAATTTTTATGCCGTTTTTATTATCTTGCCCACCCACATTGCTCTCCAGGCCTGGTTTTTAATTCGTACACACACAAGGGACCTGGTTTTGCCTCCCCTCCCCCACTCCCTACGTTGGTTCTGGGTCCCCCACCCCAACTCCTGGGATGGGTGTTTGGGGGGAGGGAAAGGGAGCGCCTGTAGTTGTATGAATGACAGTGTCCGCCATATTGATCAGAGCATCACACTATTGGCGTGATTATGATCATAACTCTCGCTCGTGGAGTATTCCATGTGTTTCGCTGCCTCCATTTCTTACCTCTGCCTCATTCTGTTTCTCCTCCTCCCTCCACCCCACCCCTCGAATCCCACTTCCCCCTGCTTCTCTTGGGGCAGTGATTTTGAACTTGACTAAAACATGGAGGGGACCCAGCCCTAGCAGATTGGGGTGGAAGATCCAGTGTTTGCTGTTCATGAGTTTGGTGCTGAATTCCTGGAGGCTGTGGCTTCGACCCCCTCCCCGCCGCCCCTCCCCCAGAACGGGAGCAGGGGTTAGGGGAGGAGGCGTGCTCTAGGGGGAAAGGGTGGGCTTCCAGGCGGATGTGACAGACACAGCCTTCTCCGAGGCCGAGGTGGAAGGGGAGCGCTGTCTGTGGGACTGAATGCAAGCCAGCCTCATCTGCCCTCCAGCCCCTCTCCTCCCTGGCCCGTCAGCCTTTGCTCTCCTGACTCTAGCCGTTTCCTGTCCACCGTGTGGCCTTTATCGTTAGATCTATTTGCACTCTGCTTAGGCCGGGTTCCCTGTAGTCTGCCTCCAATGCGGATGTCAGGCCCCACTTGCCACCGCCCCCTTCTGCCTTAGGTATCAGTTTCCCCTCCTAATTAGCTGGGGGTGGATTTGAGTGATGGTTGAAAATGAAAACAAAATGGGATATTCCTTCCTTTCCACATTTCCCCAATGAGGAGTCTCAGCTCTCCTTCCCCCTCGCTGGCCCCATCCACTCCACAGCTCCTAGTAAGCCTACAGGCAGCTTTGCCTGGGGAGGGGTGGCCGGCAGGGGATGGGTGCGTGCCTTCCGGGCCTCCTGGCCCTGCTTCCGTTGGCCTGCCAGTTCAGAACAGAGGAGTTCGTTAGGATCGTTTAGCGAGGATTCCATGTCGCTTTGCTGTGACACCTTCGTGCACACACAGCTCCTAATTAGAGGTTGCTGTGCAGTAAACAAAAATGATTATTTTTCAACTTGACAGAATAGCCGAAGTAATTGCATCCCGTAGGAAAACAATGGAAAATAAAAACCCCTTTCAAGGGAAGGTGGGTGGGAAACAAATTGCGCTTGCGATTTCAAAACCAAGAAGCAAAAATTCTTGCATGTGTAACAGGCATGACAAGCGAGTTCCAGGCGGCGCCATGATGGTAGGGAGTAGCGACTAGGAGACAGTTTCGCCCCATCTGCTTGACATGTTCTTATTTGCGTTCGAGAGCTCCCGGAGGCTTTCTTCTCACAGGCCCCTTCGGCTAGCCTCACCCTTCTGAGCCACCAGTAATTTAGTCTGGGGTTTCTCTGGGGCTTGTGCAGTCCAAATGGATGGGGAGGCGGGGCCTGGGGAATTGCTCTTTGCAACAAGGTGCATGTTGCATCTGCCTGGAGCACTCGCGGGTCGGGAAACGCAAACCGCGCCACCTCTTTCTCCTTAGGGGCAGGTTTCAAAACTTCACTTGTCTGTAATCCGCTGTGGCAGGCTGAGAGTCCGGTAGAAGCCTCGGCCTCTAGAACTGGGGTGAGGTTTCAGGCGTTGCCCGTGGTGGACAGCGCCCAGCCAGCCGAGCCTGGAAATGTCTATGGGGTTTGAGCTCGGCAGCGCTCGGCTCCTCTCGGCCTGGTCTGGGCGCGGGGCTCGGAGGATCTCGACAGTGTTCGGAGCCCAGTCGGGGTCCAGACGGAGAGGGCCGAGTGGCTTCGGCTTCGGAGGGGCACGAAGACATTCGGAAACCCTCGGAGAGGGGAGGGCAAGCGAGGTGGAGGTAGGGGAGGTGCGGGAGGGTGGCAAAGTAACTTTGCATCCACCAAAGCAGCTTGCTACCTGCTTTTCCTGAACATGTCCCATAAATTAGGTTGATTTAATAAGAAGTTTAAAAATATGTACCGAGTCCCCCAAAGGGTAACTTGCCTTTTTTATTCAAAGAAAGCTGCGCTCTCTGAGGAGATCTGTGTGCCACTTTAGAATGGAAATTCCTGATTAAGTCCTAGGGCACGAAATCTTAAAGGAAGGCTGTAGGAGATTTTCTGAGGAAAGTCCTATATATCTTATATTGGGTTGCACTGGGGGGGTGGGGGTGGGGTTTGATTCAATTAAATCAGAAATCAAAGCATTTTCTCTTTTCCTGCATTTCTTTTCCCTTTCCTCACAGCTACAAGTACTTTTTCTGTGAAAACTGCCTGTCCAAACTGAGATTTTTGTGATTGATTTCTTTTCCTTTTAAGAGCAAAACGTACCATAGTAGACTAGGTTTGCTGAGAAAGCCCACCGCAAAGGTGTCTGTACGAAAGACCCAGCTGACCTGTCCTGCTGAAGCATTCATGAATGGCAGTTTTTCCTAGGCGCTTGGCTTGAAATAAGTCAGATCAGGGCCTTGTGCCAAGCTGGATGCAGGACTTGTTTTATTAACCACAAAATCTGAGATTGGTGTCACTGTATCCCAGTGACAGATTCTTTGGACTCCTCACTTCCAGAGATGAGTTTTGAGATCACCACTTGAGTGAGAGTCATTTGTAGCCAGGAAGATTGTGCTTTCTGGGTGGGGCCAGGCCAGAAAGCCTTGGTAGCATTTGCAGAAAAGCAAATTTCCTGTTTCCCTGTGCAGTGTGATTGGTGACAAGCCTATCAGGCCATATGTGTAAGTTAGTTCAGATGCTGTGTTATTCCACCTAGGCAGATGAAAGTAGATGGTTGCAGAGTCGGCTGTAGGTGACACCCTATGAGAAGCCAGTGATTTCTAATGGGGATTGGGGCCTAGTAGCATAGGCCTTTGACTTGGGAGGAAGAATAGTGATATTTGGATATTATCAGATCCTTTGTCACCAGCATTTTCAGAGGATCTAGGAGCTGATTCCCTCTGCTTGTGTTCTCATCCAGGTTGTGGTGTGCTGATTGGGAGGGGGAATAGGAATTTGTGCCTGTAGTAGCTGAGATGCTGCCATTAAGGACTGGCAGCAGATGCAGCTTAGAACAGAGTGTTATTACCCTCATCAGCCTAGGAACATTACAGAGATTGACCTTTGTAATTTTTCTGCTCAATACCAGTCACAAAGGGAAACTGACATCATTTCAGAAGCCTAATTCTCAAGTCTTTACAATTGTTATAATTTTAGTGTGTGTGTGTGTGTGTGTGTGCGCGCGTGTGTGTGTGTGCATATGCGCGCGCCTGTAGAAGGCAACTTTGTGGAGTCCACTGTCCTTCTACCTTTATATGGGTTTGGAGATCAAACTCAAGTCACCACCCTACATGACATGCGCCTTTATCCCCTCACCTCCATTGTTCTTTCCCTTTGGTGTGTGAACAGTGAGTTTGTGTTTGGAAGGTCTCTGTCATGCAGTGCGAAACATTCCAATTCTGAGAAACCAGCAACAATGATGGGGATGGTGAAAATATAGTTTCACATATCCTGGGAATAGCTAGTCCTCCTTTTGCCCCGTGGCATTTTAAATATCTTTGCTTGCTTTAGGAGCGAGCTTACCTGTGATATAACCATCATTTTCTTGATAATCAGTGATGCTTTTACATAGACTAATACAGATTTTAAAGAGAGTATGAATTTTATTGGGTTTCTGAACCCTTGTAAAAACTATCTTAGAATTATAGTTTATGAAGCATAGAATCAATAGACTTCGCAGTTCAAACATTGAGTGACAAATGCTTGGACCTGATAGTGTAAAATGGCCCCTGAAATTGTTCTGAACATTACAGTTTGCTGGGTTGCTTAGTTCACACTCTCTGGTGGATCATATTTTTTGTTTTGTTTTGTTTTTTAGTAAGTAGAGTTTGCAAAAAAAAAATTGCAGAAAGACCTGGCTTGCTAGCTAGTAGACTTCACCTGTATAGACAGAGTAAAACGGAGCATTTCCGATATACATTCATTTCTGGGATACCTGTTCAGTGCAGTTTTTAAGCAAGTTTAAGGATTCGCCTATTGAACATATCACTGCTCATACAAATATCCCAACCCTTACAAGTGAGGTTTTAGTATACCACTCTGTCAGGGAAGGTGGTGGTTTTGAAAGATCATCTGCTGCCAAGAAGATGGTGGTTTGCTCTTCCCAGCTGACCTTGACTTTATAACTGGGTGTCAAGACCATTGGTTGGCAGCGTTAAGCTTGTGGGCTTTCAGCATCTAGTAAGGGACAGGCACCAACAGAGGGGGAGGTGGCAACTTGCAGCTATCACTTAGTGAAAGTACAGACATTTAAAAGGGCATTTCCTACCCTTACCACAGGCCTCTTGTGCAGGTAGCAGTCCACTGAGAGCTACTCTTCAGGTCCTTGGCTTGATGTTTCTGCAATCCCTTCATTGGCTGTTTTGGCATCCATCTCCATGCTTGTGTCTCCATGTTTATCAAATAGATGCACCTTGCTCTCTGGAGACAGTGTGAGTGAGAACAGAATGTCAGATCAAGTAGCAGCAGATGAGTTCTCTGCTGCTGGACGGTACTCTCTCCCTTCTTGCTGTTCACTGAGCTGTAAATACCAGCAGAACTTGTTGCCAGAAGAGCAGCCAGCAGTTCACCTGATCTCATCAAGAATTAGCAATTTGTGAGCCTCAGTGGATTCTGAAATGGAGCCTGTGTGCTTGTGGAACCCCTAACCCTAACCTATGTAGATTGACATGGCTGACTAGGAATCCAGAATTTCTTTCTGTGCATGGGAAGCTGGATGAGTGCTCAGGTGCTGGCTTATTTCTTCTAAACCTGGATCTCCTGGATT